AAACATGTCCAATAGAAATATTAGTAAGAATTATAGGTATTTCTTGAAAGACAGAGGATATGGGAGGGACATGTCACTGTAGGTTGATCAAATAAAGTAATATCTCAGTATATCAAAAAGATAAGAAGTTGAAATTTTATATTTTTTATATTTTATATTTTTGACTCAACAACACCCTTTATCAATGTTTTAACAACTTGTAGTCCTTGTAATGGAAGGGAAAAAATTTATAAATGAGAAGACTTAGTGTCACTAAATCATGTGACTTTGTGAGGTGCAAATTGAGAATTTATTTAAGTATTTCATTTTGAAATTAAAACTTAGATAATATAAAAATTTGGAATATAAACTAAGTTTTGATGTCAAGTTTATTGACATAGATTGATAATAAAGTAGTTTACTTAAATTTTAGCCCAGGGTTAAGTAAAGTTTTCTTTGAGCAAATAATAAATATTGCTATAACTTTTTTATATCAAAGCAATCTTATCCAAGTCATGCATGCAACAATGATTTTTTTAAGTAGGAGCTCACTTTCAATCCACAAAAAGAAAGACCTCTAAGAATATATGAATATAGTTTATAAGAAAATAACATATTTATATTATGTTAGAATACTTAGTTTTAAAAGTTATTATATACTAGAATATAAGAACATATCTTGTTTTGTCTTTTTTTAATTGTTTGTATATTTACCTCAATTATTTTATTATATACATATTGTTTAGTTAAATGGATAAATAACGTGTTACATGGAAAATGTTAAGCATAATCATACTATATAGAGACCTCCCAGAATTTCTAACCAAAATTTTCAAAATAGTGTTCAAAGAATCTGAACACTTAATACATTTAAATGTACATAGTCTGACAGTATTATTTGTAATTAAAAACAGTGAATACTATTAAAACCTAATTTGAGGTGTATATATGCAAGTTTTATAAAACAGCATTTAAATTTATAGCTCTAAATTGTTTTTGTAGTATGTGTTTCATAGTAGACTTAGTGTGAAAGCTTGGCAACTGCCTTGTTCCTTTGAGAAAAGCTAGTATGTGTAATTTTGGTAAAGTAATGCTTTAGACAGTGCTGTAACTTACCTTAAGTTTCTATTTTTTTGTTATAATTAAGTTTATCTTCAGCACCTGAATAATTTCAGCATCAGATCACCTATCACAGTTAAAATCATTATTATATCAATTTTTTTCACTGTTTGCCATACACGTTCTTAACAAGCGCCAATCATTACAATAACATGTAGTCGTAAATTAACATAAAAAAATCAGCAAAATGTTTCTGAAAAATAAGTTCTTATTTCCATTATGTGAGAAAATACAATTAAAATAGTATTATAACAAAAATACTATTTCACAGTGCCACATATGTATATGCTTTGCACCATTTGTGTGACTTGTTTTGAATTATGCTTCATGACAACAATTATACAATAATAAGCAATGAAAAACTTGTTTTTAATGTTTGTCTCAAAATGTTTTGGTTTTGCTTTCATTTCTTGATTAATCTATTTCAGTTTTTTGTATTCATGAAATTATATCAGTGGCTTCTGTGCAATTAGTCTGACACTTAAATTGTGCAGAAACTATTAATTTGATTTCTAAAAGTTTGAACTAGATACATGTATTTATAATGTAATTTTCACTTTTGTATATTGCTTGCAAAATCTAAAGTTTTGTGGGAAAATGCCCTTGTGTATAATTTCCAGAGGATTGCATATAGGAGTTCTACAATAAGAGTTGTATTTTACAAAACCAGTACTACAGGTATAAGGTGATATCAAAATATTTTTTAGCCTTGGCCTAGCAGCTCATACAATAGCTCTGAGTTTTTCAAGTACAAACTTTTAGCTCATAGCCCTGTCATCTCTTGACCGATTTGAGATATAATTACAGTTTTGGACTCAGGAGGTCAAACCCTTCCAAATTGATATATTTGACTACACCTAAGGTCTCATAGATTAATTTACTCTAATCCTATCTTAAAGGATTTCAAATTGAGGTTAGTCTGGTAGAGATCCTGATGAATAATAAAATTGAGTAGGATATACACACAACCCACACATTGTAGTGCTGGTGCACAAAAACATAGATTAATTTAGAGTGTAGATTAATTTACTCAAATCTTGCCTAAAAGAATTTCAAGTGCCTATTGAGGATTACCTATTTTCTGTATTTGTGACAAGAAAACAAAATGATTTTTTTTATAGTATTTGACCATTATTATAAAATATGCATAAGATGATTTACTGAAAATAAGATTGACCTGTAGGTATAATTATAGCAATATACAACAAGATGGGATTTGTGTACCAAACCATGATTACTTAGTTAAAAGATTAAAATATGCATCTTTTTCATGTGTGTATTATAATGGATACCGAGGGAGTAACAAAAAAGTGTATTTCTCATTGTTATAATTCATGATGTTAGCAAAACACGTAGGTTCAAGAAGTCTTGGTAGAAATGAATAAAAACCTTATAACCCAAGTGCTTTTGAAAGGTGGACCTTTAGGTTATAAGGTTTTTATTCATCTCATTGTTTTAAAGTAGTTTAGATTAGAGATAAATATTCAGCTATCTAAATTTTAAATTTTATGGATAAGGAAAGGGCTCAATCCATCCAAACCCCCTCCGTTCATTGCATGCATGCCCTAAGTAATCTGATTACTTAACCCTGATTAACCCTCTCTATGGGCATCTTTTTCTGTGCATGTCATGAGGTTTTAGTGAGTTACATTCAATTTTTAATTAAACTTCTTTCTTTTCAGGTATACCAATAAATATAGCATAAAAACCTATCTAATAATCCATATTTTAATAATATATAAATTAAGTTATTAATTTTTTAAGGTAATATAAAAAAAAAAATCCTGAATTTCCAATAGTATGAGAATTATGACACTTATCTCTTTAGGCTTCCCCTCTTCTCTAATTTATTTACCACCACTAAGAAGTATGAAATTTAATGTAAATTGCATCCAGTTGTGTTGAATTACATTACACTATGCATGAGCTACTCATGAGCATACCTAGTGAAAATTTTATTATTTTAATATTATTTATTTTTTTTGTTGCCCTCAAATGTGAATGAAACTTAACCCTCAGTTTCATACTAATGGTAGTACTGCACTAAAAAACTTTTTATTTTATTGAGTAATGCACTAAAGAACACGGAATAATAACATGTAAAAAGTAGACAATGTCCCATAACTATCAGAATTTTTCTGGCTTTCTAACTGTGTGACATGAGCCATTAAAAATTCATTGAAGCTCATCGATATGTTTGCCATGGGAATAAAGCTTCAACTGAGAATTAAATTGACAATTCTCTGTATAGAAAACAATGTCATTGGCTTTTTATTGGTTATAAATAATATGGTATTAAATGGCAGAGAGAACTATTTGCAATTTCTGAAAGAAAGACTGTGACACGTGTGTGTGGCCATAAAGATATGATTTTCTATTTGATAGCTCTTTGACCAAACAAGATTGAAGGCTATAAAAAAATTTTTGCCTGAGCGATAACACTGGTAAATACATCAGACCAACCTATGACATGGTAAGGCTACAACAAGACATACCTGATTTATGATAAATAGGTGTAGACCGACCTCATAGCTAGAAAATTAAATTTGTATCATGTGATAAGTAAGAAATATACAAGTTAAAGGAACACTATTGTTTAATCCAAACTATGTCTAGTTATCTAACCAGTAATTACTAGGCCAGACCCTGACATTCATGAGTTGTATACAAACAAAGCACCTGCATAGTGTCACACTAAGGGAAGTAGTACTAGCTGTCTCTTGTGTTGATATGTGTCTGAAGCTCTTGAGGTACTCTTGAATAGTTTTGACTTTCACATTATAACAACCCTAGATCAGTATATTATGTTTGTTAGGATGGTTGTCTTGTGAATTAAGGATCACCATTTTGATACTTGATGCTACCAGATATGTTTGCCCTTTCACCCATAAAGGCATTATAGTGTCATGGTCAATCTCATTATTCACTGGCAAAAGATTAGCCCAAGAGTTGGTGGTGTGTGCTGCCAGCCTGTTGTCTTCCTATTGTTAGGATAGTGGATAATAGCCTTAGTAGTTTTGTCATAATTTAGAAAAAATAGTATTCCTGCTGTGGCTGAAAGGGGAAGGTATGTTTGGTGGCACCAGAAATTGAATAAGAGTCTATTGAATCATGAGGTCCCCCCCCCCCCCCCCCACTTTTAGCAGCTATGCTGGCCCAAAGCTGAACAAACTTGTGTTAATTTAATTGTTGGATTATTCACAAATGGTGATAATTAGAGATTCTAATTTTGATTAGTTGATTATTTTCATTACACTACTAGATTTAGTCCTAATTTTGATTAACCATTTATTTTATGTAACTAATCAATGTAATAGATACTCATAGGTAATTGAGTTAATCTCATCCAGCTCTCACTACCATGGCATGACTTACTATATATTATTAGATACAGTTTTAAATAAAACACTTTCACAATAATTCAGACGTAATTAGGACACTAATCATACTCTGGTTAATATTTCGGGCCAACCTTTGCCAGTGGCCATCACTATGTGTATTATGACATGGTAAGGCTATAACAAGACGTAACTGATCTATCATAAATAAGTGTATTTTTGTGGAAATTTTCATCTGAATTTAATATTTATTATTTTAACATCTTAGGCCCTCACTTATGCCCATTTTTAAGTAATAACTTAAATAGGTTAAAAACAAATAAGCTTCTATGTTAAATGTTGTAATCTTTTTCCTGTTCTCATTCTATTATTTGCATAACAGTAACATTTATCTTTCATGATCGATTTCTGGGAAGAGACACTGTTGATATAATTATCCTCAGTAAATGGATCAACACATATTTGAACTTTTATTTTGTCAAAATATGAAAATGTATATTGCAGTGTTTAGAAAATGTTTGTAGTTTCTAAATTGTATTTCTTTTTTCTTTTTATAAATTTGAGCTGATTTTGCATGCAAAGATATTGCTCAGGATTTGCAGCGATTGCTGAAGTTTAAGTCTGGAGAAACTGCACACAGTGTTTTACCAAGTAAGTGGCATTTTTTTTATTTTCTGAAAAATGTGGAGTGTTTGAATTTTTTTATTTTACATAAAGTAAGCAGACCTGTATACAGCTTGGTGATTAGTAAAATTTGCTATTCGACTATTCTCATGAGATGGCCAAGAAAAAGAAAAAAAACTGCTAACATATGGGGTGCTGAGCACAGCTAGCCCATTCTATAGTTTTGTGTTTTGCAAATATTTTGATTATTTGGATTGTTGGAATATCTAAAACCCCTAATTTTTATGAGTTGTAACATCACTCAAATAATCTAAACAATACTGAATTAATTGAAAATAATTATGAAAAATCATAATGTCAGTATTTTGAATACTGGATAGTTGGAATAAAAAAATCAACAGTATCAATCGGAAACAATAGTTGATAATTTTCTTCATGTTAATCAATTGTTTAAATCTCACTAATCAATGCTCTTGATTAATCAATTTAATCACCCAGCTATATGTAGCTCAAATAATTTAAGGATAGTTTTCATGTGCAGTATTCTTGTTTGGTATACAGTTTATTTATTTATTTATCAATGAAATTTTAATTTTTGAATTTTAAATACTTCAGTATTTAAGTCCTGGCTTTTCTAATACCTAATATTTTGAACATATTCTTTCAATTATGATTTAGTCATGTACTTAGTATTTTGACAGAGTTCTCTCCTACTTCTGTCTTCTGCATAAGTTAGGTGATCTGAAGAGTAATATAGAAACATGGAATAATAAGAGCTATCAGGAAGGAAAAGGAAGAGCAAGTCCTTAAGAAAATACTGTCAGCATTAACCATTTAAATCTGAAGGTTGTCCATGTAATGGCAAGGAAAACTAAAATTTGACATAAAATTTAAGTGTGTTTACTAAGATCATCGCTATGAACAGAAATTAATTTTGTAACCTACTTATACCTCAGTTAGAACACCAGATAAATTGTAGTAGTTTTGTGATGTTCTGTCCTACTGAGTTTTTTTTAACCTTTTTGAGATGGGTGAAAGGCCATGTCATCTTGTTTGTTGACTTGAATTCAAAATTTTATTGAACTACTATTGCATGAATTTATGTCAATGACTTTGGTATCAAACTGTAGATTATAATTCAAATTTTAGTAGTATATATTAGACCATTTCTTAATTTAAAAGCAAATATTAAAAAACACAAACATCAATTTTTGTGTGTCACATGGTATGTTA